CAGTAGTCCTGGCAGTCCTCCACCCTGGCAAGCCTTTGGGTGCTGTCAAGGGTGGGGCACCTTGCTTGCCTGGATACCTGTCATTTATGGGAGAAGGGAACCAGGCTGAGCCTCTGGGCATATGTAGGGCTAGAGGCTGAAGGGGAGGAATGGGCACTGCCAACCTACTGCTTTGGGGTTTCTGTTTCTTTTCAGGCCTCAGTAGATGGTCCCACGGATAAGAAGGAGGAGTGAGGGCCTGCCTCCTTCTCTGCCTGCAGCTGGCTTCCACCTGGCCTGTGTGCTGCTTCCTGGGAGCCCAGCCTCTCCTCTGGTACTTCGGTTCTCTCCTCTGCTTGCCTCATTGCCTTCCACAACCAATAGCTCATTTAGGCCCCTTTCACCTTGCCAGCATACCACAGGGGCCTTGATTGTCGCTCATTCAAGATTGAGTTTCCTGTTGTCCTGCCCTGCTGGGCTGTTTCCACTCTTAGGAGTGTAGAGGGCACTTGTGTCCAGCCCAAGTTGAGCCCCTTTTGTTTTGCCATGTTTGTGTGCTCTATAGTCCTGCAGGAGTTCTGTGAAGCAGGCCATCTAGTTCTCCTGAGGCAATAAAGGTTATTATCATGTGTGTGTGGTACTTGTGTGTAACTGGGTCTGCTGGGAGGACTGCTACCTCCTCTTGCCACTCCAGAGCAGCCAGAAAGGCATGTTATGGTCTCTGTGCAGCACCCTTCATTTCCTTCAGTTGCTTCCAGCCCCGAAGGCCAGGCTCACACTTGCCCTTAAAGGTCCTGCCCTCTCTGCCCTTCCCCCTTCTCCCCCAGGCCTAGACAGGCCTCACTTTATGGCTCTTGGGGAGTGTCTGTCCTGCCAGTCTCCCTGGGGGTTGGCAGCCATCCTAGGAGCTTGGGAAGCTCAGTAAACCGGCAGGACTTCCTGATGGCAAACTTGCCTGCCTTCTCTGGGTTCCTGTTCATCACAGTTGGGACAGATACAACATGGCAGAATGCCACCAGTCACTCCCTGCCCTACCCCCTCCTGAAGGTTTGCAGCGTGACCTCTGACTAATGCAGACTGGGAGAGGAGACTTGTCCTTGGTAGTGACCTAGAGCTGGCCCAGGGCAGAGTGAGGCAGTAGAGATGGGCTGTGAATGGGTTGGGGCCTCTGTGCTGACCCCAGCCTTGAGGACACGCTGGGCACAGGCTTGACACTGTGTATTGGCTTGCTGGTGGTTCCCCCATGGCTTTCCCAGAGCAGACCCTAGTGCAGGGTCAGCCTGCAGCTGAACTTCTCTCCAGGAGGGCACAAGAAAGAGCCTATGTCCAATGAGGTGCTTGTCCTCTGTCCCCAACCTCCCTCCTTTGCAGGGTGCCTGCCATGCCTGATATCTGTGAGGATTGGGTGGAGGGGTCGATGTGCAGGTTAGAGGTATGTATCTTGGAATCAGGGTGATCCCTATAGATGTTGACACTGGCAGGATGGCTGATGGCCAGCTGTGTGTTCCCACTCCTGTCTGCCCAGTTTGTGGCCCAGGCCAGCGGCTACCTTTTCCCTCACCCTCTCACCCTTCCCTATGCTCAGAGCGTGGCTGCCTTGGGAAGAGCCCCAGCCCTTTCTCAGCAGTCTAAGAGGTGGTAGCCATGGGAAGAAGGGGCATTCAAGTGACACCCTCTGATTGATATGCCAAGGCTTAGTTAGGGCTAGTCCACTTTTCCAGGAAGTGTTCCTGGACTCCTTTGGGCCTCCCCAAGCTTGCCTGTCTATGTTTCAACAGGCTGAAGTCCAGACAGCTTCTCCTGCTGTTCCACCCTGGCCCTGGCACAGCCCCTCTCTGCCCTAGCTTCTGAGGCATGTCATCTAATGGGACAGAAGGTGCTGTAGCACTCCATTTTCCCACCCATGTCTCCCACCATACTTCAAGAGACTTGAGAACTAAGAGTTCTTGTTGATTTCCATGTCCTGACCCCTAGGGAGGGAGCAGATTCCTGAGTAAATGGCACCTGTCTGCTACTGCAGAAATCCAGTTTAAATGGCATACCTCTGTGAAATTGCCTTTTTGTGATGTCACTGTTTTCTGTGTCTTTGGCATTGTGGCATGTGGCTTGGAGGGCATTTGGCCTGAAGGCAAGAACAGCAGACCAGGATTCTTACCCAGGCAAAAAACCTGGCTGAGAGCTGTTCAGAAGTTGATGTAAGCCTGGCAGGGGTTGGGTGGGGCCCTGAGGGTGACACTGGCTGTTGGCTCCTTCTGTTGGGTGGAGTTGGTTAGGCACAGTATATAGGGCCTAGGACACCCTGGGAGAGATCTAACGCACACTTAGGGCCTTTGCAGCTGTGGAAGAAAAGGTGGCAATTGGGGAGCAGTGAGCAGTCAGGGGTTCTGTGGAGAGGGAAACTGGGAAACTGCTGAAGAGAAAGATGGCAGGGAGGCTGTGCAGGCTCCCACTTGCCTACCTGAAGACTGTGCTTCCCATTCTGCACATGACAAAACTGGGGCTTCCTGGCTTCCCTCCTGCCCATGGTGCCACACTCTCATTGAAGGCTGCCTTCTGCATGTGTTGAATGTCCCATCCCTCTGAGGACCTGTCTGAACTGATTATTCTCTGCCTCCCTTTGCTTTTTTGGGGGGGGCATTGTACTGGAGAGTAAACCCACAGCCTCATGCATACTAGGAAAGCACTGTGCCACTGAGCTACACCCCTATCCATTTTTAAATTTTATTTTTGATACAGAGTCACCAAGTTGCCCAGGCTGTCCCCTGAACTTGTGATTCTCCTGCCTCAGCCTCCTGAGTCACTAGGATTATAGGTGTGTGCCACTGAGCACAGTGGAATGTTATTCATATATAACAGAAAACATCATCATCTCCATTTTTTTGTTTTGTTTTTTATTGTTGTTCAAAACATTACAAAGCTCTTGACATATCATATTTCATACATTTGATTCAAGTGGATTATGAACTCCCATTTTTACCCCAAATACAGATTGCAGAATCACATCGGTTCCACATCCACTTTTTTACATACTGCCATACTAGTGTGTGTTGTATTCTGTTGCCCTTCCTATCCTCTACTATCCCCCCTCCCCTCTTCTCTCTCTACCCCATCTACTGTAATTCATTTCTCTCTCTTGTTTTTTCCCCTTTCCCCTCACTTCTTCTTATATGTAATTTTGTATAACAATGAGGGTCTCCTTCCATTTCCATGCAATTTCACTTCTCTCTCCCTTTCCCTCCCACTTCTCTTCCCTGTTTAATGGTAATCTTCTTATGCTCTTCCTCCCTGCTCTGTTCTTAGTTGCCTTCCTTATATCAAAGAAGACATTTGGCATTTGTTTTTTAGGGATTGGCTAGCTTCACTTAGCATAATCTGCTCTGATGCCATCCATTTCCCTGCAAATGCCATGATTTTGTCATTTTTTAGTGCTGAGTAATACTCCATTGTGTATAAATGCCACATTTTTATCCATTCATCTATTGAAGGGCATCTAGGTTGGTTCCACTATCATCTCCATTTTTAATTGTACACATAGTCCAGTGGTATTAAACACATCCACATTCTACTTCTATTGCCACCATCTGTCTCCAGAATTGCTCATCTTCCTGCATTGAAACATTGTCCCTGTTAGACACTAACATTACCCTCTCCCCAGCCTCTGGCACCTACCATTCTACTCTGTCTATGGATTTGGCTGCTGTAGGGACCTCCTGTGAGAGGAATCATGCAGTGTTTGTCCTTTTGTGACTGGCTCATTTCACCAAGCATCATGTTCTCAAGGGTCATCCATGTTGAAGCATGTTTGGGGGGTAGGGGGGTGGGTACTGGGGAGTGAACTCAGAGGCACTCGACCTCTGAGCCACATCCCCAACCCTATTTTATATTTTATTTAGAGACAGGGTCTCACTGAGTAGCTTAGCGCCTCACCATTGCTGAGGCTGGCTTTGAACTCAGGATCCTCCTGCCTCAGCCTCCTGAGCTACCGAGCTTACAGGTGCATACCATACACCCAGCCAGAATTTTCTTACTCTTTGAGGTGAAATAATATTCTATTTTATGGACATGCCAAACTTTATCCATTCATGTCTCCGGACACTTTGGTTCCTTCCACCCCCTTGTTAATCCCACTGCAGTCAGGTTCCTCCCCCAAACCTCTTGTCCAAGTCTCCATGATCTCACTGCCAGAACCAGCAAATGCTTTAGCACTGTATTCCTTGACCAGGAGCAGTAGCCAGCAGAGCAGGCCATTTTCTCCTCTATGACCCTTGCAGGGTGGCCTAGGACCCTGTGCTTGGGCCCTGTCTCCCTCTATACCTATCCACCTTACTCCCTACTGTGAACCCATGGATACTGAGGCAGGGCTTTCAGCACCATGTGTGGTAAGAACTTCCAAAGTTCTAGCTCCAGGCCAGACTTTCCATAACTGCACATTCTGGTGTCCAGCTGCCAACTAGACATCTCCACTTGGATGACACTTCCTGGATGACATACCCAAAGCCAACTCCCAATCATCCCCATTGCAGGACCTGGCAATGCCAGTCTTCCTGTGGCTCAGAATATCTGGTGTCCTCCTTGACTATTCAATTCTGCATCCCAGAATTGCCAGCCCTGCCCTCAAAGTAGACCCTAATCTGAAGATGTTATACCCTTCCATGATTACTGCCACTTGGGTTCAAGTACCACCCCTCACTTTCTTCAGATCTTAGGTCACCTTCTCTGACACATTCTTGGGCAACCTCTTGAATTCAAAATTCTAGTGGCATGGTTACACACCCATCCTCTACTGGATATGCTCCTGAGATGACCATTACCCTCTTCCCTTGTGTACATTGGATCCAGGGGGCTGAGGCTTTCTGCAGCTTCCTTTCTTGCTCTATTCCCAGCTCCTGGAATGGTGCTGGGTGCAAAACCTTCAGAACAGGTCCTTGCGGAAGGCAGCAGCTAGAGCTGGAGGGAAACCCCCTATACCTCTTGCATCCCAAGTCAGACCCCTTTTCAGAGAAGCAGAGTAGAAGCAGAAGCCAGTTTTGGAAAATGACGTGTTTTTATTGCTATGTTTGCAGTGGCTTTTTAGCACAGTAAGAACGTCCCTGCAGCCCTGTGCCCTCACTCAGCCCCACTCCTCCAGCCTAGGTCTCTGGGTGGGGTAAGCCTTTCTAGGGGCCACTAAGCCATTTTGGGCTTGACGGGACACAGAGGTGGGTTAAAGCTGCTACACGGAAGACTCAAGATGTGGAAAGTGCATCAGCCTTAAGCTTGGAGGTGGGAGCTGTGCCCGGGATCCCTTCCCTGGGCTGTGCCCATGGATGATCCCTGCAATGGAGCCCAGCCCAGGGAGCAGGGTGTGGGCAAGCCTGAGCATGCCAGGTGAGCAGCCCCAGATCCTGGGACAGGGTGCTGCAGCCTCCCCCTCCCACAGACTTGGGGACAAAGGAGCAGTGTGGGGACACCTTTGAGGCCCCCACCATGCACTTTCCCACCCCAGTGTGGGGCTGGGGGCCACACACGCACATCCACTCAACAGACTCACACGCTCAAACAGCTTGAAGCTTTTGTTTTGCCTATGAAAATTAGATCTATAAATTCACACTCCTTGGCTAGGGGCAAGAGGAAGGATGGGCTGAGAGGGAAGGGAGTGGTAAGGAGAGGGGACGGTTAGGGCTCTCTTTTTAGAAATATACAAGCAGAAATCTCACTCCTCAAGTTTTTATAAAATGTGCAAAATACAAGCCTCCGTTGCCCAGAGGCACAGTTAACATCTGGTATTCGCCTTCTCTAGGAGAGATCTACACATCCTCTACACTCACACGTGCACTCAGACCCAAGCTCACACAATTGATATTGGTGGCAATTGGCGCAGGAACCAGAAGGTTCCGTTGCTGGCTGGCTCTCTAAGCTTCTAGAACAGGGATAGGGGTGGGAAGAGGGGTGCAGTCCAGCTTAAACATTCACCTAGGATCCCCTGCACATCCCTCTCCCCCCATCCTGCCTCCCCCTTCCCTCCTGTTCCCCAAGCTACCACTGCTGCTTCTGGGGGTGAGGGGCCACCCAAGGATGTTTAACAGAGCAGAGCCTAGGGATGGGGGCAGGATGGGCCTAGCAGGGGTAGGAGATGGGTCCTGGAGAGGAGAGTTGGGAGGCAGGGCCTGGGAGCAACGCATGGACCAGCTTGGCTAGGGCCCAGAGGTTGGGGGGAGAGGCATCTATTTTTGGTGGGTTGTGATATTTTTGGCGTTTTATTAAAAATGGAAAAAAGTTATTTTAGCACTCAAGGTGCTTCCTCCCCTCCCCCCAGGCAGACCCCAAAACTTGTCAGGGAAAGGCAAGCCCCCTGGAGGGGTGGGGTGGGGGCTAAAGCAGGGGCTGCTATGGCTACCAGAGGATGAGCTGGTGATGTGAGCTGGGGTTGCCCGTCACATGACACTCTCCACCACCACAACTTTGCTGCTCTCGGACACTGGAGTCAGGGTGGTCAGGCCCCTGACATCTGCATCCTGAGCTCTGTACTCCAAATGGTGGAGGCCCCAGATAGGCTGGGTCAGGTGCTGCCAGCGCTGCAGAGAAGAAGACATATTGAGCACCCCCAAGGGTCACTACTCCCCATGGCAATGGTTTCTGCCTCTCTCCAATTTCTACCATCTGCCACTAAATGCTCCTTCAAGGGTACCCTTCAAAGCTTCAGCCCCTGCACTAGAAAACAGGATGGGTGGGTATTTTCCTCAGAGGGAAGGAAGCTAGATGTAGGCCCTGTTCCCCTGCCACCACCCCTAGCCCAAAGTGGCCAGTCTTCAGGTTGATCACCTGGAGGGAGGGTTGGAATGGGTCTTACCTCTGCCATGGTTCCCTTGGCCCTGAGGAGGCAGCCCAGCAGATAGAGGGGCACACACAGCATGGAGGAGAGTGCAAAGGCCCAGCCCATGGCCTCGCCCCACCACGGGTACACGTAGGTATTGTTGTAGACCAGCGGCTCATAGTACACAACATTGAAGATGAAGATACCCTGTGGACATGGACACCTGCAGTCAGAGTGGCTCTCCACACTGCCTTGCCTGCCCAGCCTTTTCCAGCCCTTACCATGCAGACCAGCGGGGTAAAGAAGGACCAGCACCATTTCATCCAGGGGCAAGGTCGGTACCCAATCATACAGGCAATGTCATCCATGAAGCGATCAGCTCCTAGGGTTGGGCAAAGCAACAGGGCCCAGAGCTGGAGACCACCTGCCCCCACCTTATCTCATATCCCAGCCCGGCCCTTGGCCCAGACTTACCATACACCCAGGCTACCACCACACACTCCCAGAAGGCCTGCCAGAGCAGGGTGGTGCCACTGGCTGAGTAGTAGTCAAACAGCTGGAAGACATACATCCCACCCTGGGGGATGGAGACAGGTTAGGGAAGATGGTGGCCATTGGCTGAAGACTACTGGCAGCCCCACCTGGCCCCCACTCACATCTGTCACCATGGAGAGGTCGATGACAAAGCAGAGGGCACAGCAGAGAGCCACGGAGATCTCCCTTTGGAAACGGAAGTAGTAGGAAGCCGGGAGGAGGTCGAGGAGGCCGGTGATGAAGCCCTCCACACCTACAAACTGTGGCCAGGGCAGCTCAGGCCCAGCCCTCTCCCTACCAGCACTTCTTGCCCAGTTTGCCAGGCCCCTGCCCACCAGCCCCAGCTCCTGTCCTGGAGCACCCCGCAAACCTGGCTGTCCAGGCCGAGCAGCAGCAGCATGAAGAAGAACAGAGCAGCCCAGAGTGGGGCCACAGGCATCAGCGTGACAGCCCGGGGGTAGGCGATGAAGGCCAGGCCTGGCCCTGAGGAGTAAAGGTGCAGGGTGAGCTGGCACCCCCCTGAGCTGTGCATACCCTGAACCTTGCTTAAATGGCCTTCAGAGACACCAGAGGCACAGGCAAAGCCTGGGCACCTAGGGGCCAAGAGCTACACCCTCCAATTCCATTTGTTTCTAGGCATGGCCAGGCACACTCAGGCCCCTGCAGGCACCTCACACTGTCTGAAGGCTCAGCAGGACCCCACCACCATGTAAGTGGGGCATCTGGCTCAGGCTTTTCCCTGGGTTCCAGCAGCCATCACTGTCACAGGTCTCTGGTTCCCCTATGTGAACCAGCAGGGCTGCAGGAGACCCTTTTTCCCTCCTGAAGCTCTGGGACAACTACAAAGACACACCCTGTGGCCCTTTTTGAAGGGTGGAAGGGGGTTCCTTGAGCAGCCAAAACAGCTGTGCCTCACAGTGGCTCTGCCTGCTGCCCTCTGGCACAGAGCAATCGGATAAGCTCAGCTGAACTTGTCTGTCACTTTTCAGAACTGGTTTGCATGTGTTTGCATGTCATACATCAGGACAGTGTTGCCGCTCTGGCGGAGGGCAGAAGCTGAGGCTTTACCTGATTCAGCCACTTTGGAGATATGCACGCCCTGCTCTGTGGCCATAAAGCCCAGGATGGAGAAGACCACAAAGCCAGCAAAGAAGCTGGTCCCGCTGTTGATGAGTGCCAGGATGATGGCATCCCTGGGTGGTGGAGAGGGGGACGGAGTAGATTGGTTAGATCTGGTGCTCCCAAGCAAGGGAGGACAGAGGTGGGCCTGGGCTGTGGTGCTTACTTGTAACAGTTGTTGTTGAAGCGGTTGTAGCTGCCCAGGGCTGTGAGGGCCCCCAGGCCGATGGCGTAAGAGAAGAAAATCTGGGTCCCAGCATCTATCCATACCTGGAGATGGGTCAGGAAAGAATGGGCATGAGGGCGGCCCCAGCCCAGTAGCACCATCTCCCACTCCTATTGCTTCACAGGTCCTCCCCTCACCTGAGGTGACCCCAGCTTTGACCAGTCAGGCTTGAGATAATAGATGATGCCATCCAAGGCCCCAGGCAGTAGCACTCCACGCACCAGCAGCACGACGAGGACCACATAGGGGAATGTAGCAGTGAAGTACACGATCTGAAGGGGTGGGATGTTCAGAAGGGCCTGTGCCCCTACCTCCCCCTGAGCCTGGCATCTGACCAGGGGAGCCATGGTGTGACCTTGTGCTCAGAGGGAGGGCGAGCACTGGTGCCCCATTCTTCTCAGAGCTAGGGCTCCCCTGAGGGAAGATAGAGGCCTGGGCAGCTCTACAGCAAGCACAGGCCAGCTGCAGAGGGAGGGGAGAGACTAGACCGTGGCTCTTACAGAGGAGGATCCCTAGGCACATCTAATGTCTTGCAGGGAAGGGCGCTCACAGGGAGTGAGTGAGCCCATGTGAACTCAGTCCTGAGGATCAGAATTGAGGCAGCTTCTGGGGTTTGTCCATGCAAGATTGGGAAGGTGTTGGGGTGTGGGGATGAATGAGCAAGGAGTCTAATGCTGGCAGTGTAGCATGGAGTGACAAGCCATGTCCCTCTCAGAGCCCTGTGGGGCCTCAAACTCCAGGTCATCATCTGTACAGAGGTAGGGTCCTTACTAGTTGAGGATTCTAACTGGGCCACACAGAAAGGAAAGGGAAAGGGGAAAAGGTGTGGCTCAGAGGTAAAGCACTTGCCTATTAAATATAAAGAACCTGGGTTTCACCCCCTGTACTTTTTAGAGAAAGGGACAGCAAAGGCCTCTGCTTCCTTGCCCAGTATCCAAGCTCTGGGGACCCTACTGTGAATGCATCTAGTCCTACCCTCCAGGGACTGACCTGGCCATTTCCCACAGTGACACACTGTCTTATTATGTATCTGTTCATGCATTGGTCTCCATGACCTGACAACCCCTGAAGGAGGAAGTGTGTGAAGATTTCCCTCCGGGCCCTCAGCACTGGAAACCATAGACCAGGTCCACCCAGACCATAGAAACAGGCTGAGGCAGTGAGGAAGGAATAAAGGAATTAAAGAGGGAAAAAGTGTGAGGGTGGGGACAGAGGATGGGCACAGGGAAGGAAGGAGCAGCTACTGCATGGGTCTTTCCCCTCTGGAGTGAAGGCTGCTGCTCCCTGGATTGGGAGGGTAGGATGGAATATCCTGTGATGGGGTGTGATAAAGTGGTCTGGATTTAAGGACCTCTCCATTCCTTAGTCCTTAGTTCCAGTCTGGACACCCCCCTTTTTTTTTTTGGTACTGGGAATTGAACTCGGGCACTCAACCACTGAGCCACACCCCCAGCCCTATTTTGTATTGTATTTTATTTCGAGACAGCGTCTTACTGAGTTACTTAGTGCCTTGTTAAGTTGCTGAGGGAGGCTGCCTGTGAACTCACGACCCTCCTGTCTCAGCCTCCTGAGCCACTGGGATTACAGGCATGCACCACTGTGCCTGGCTGGACACCCCATTTTGTAATGTCCTTGCAGGGACACACCTCTCCCAGGGCAATGCTGGCCCCACCCTGCCCACATCCAGCTGTACCTTTCCTGTTGACTTGACTCCCTTCCACACACAGAAGTACACCAGGACCCAGCAGGCCAGCAGACATAGGGTCACCTCCCAGTTGAGGGCCCCTGGCACCTCCAGCCCTGCAGAGAGCCTCAAGACTTTGTTCCTAGGGGGAGAGAAGGAGGACACGTGTGGGCCCTGCCAGCAGAGGGCATAGTGGATGGGATATGCCCCCAGGAATGGTGGTTCCTCTGTCCCACCTACAGACCCTGGTCCAGGTCTTATAATGTGCCTGGAGCTTGGCAGGCCCCGGCTTGTGTGCTGCCAGCTGACCCCACCCACACCCCCTGCATACACGCAATCCCAGCTCCCTCACCAAGTGGTTCTGGTGGAAGAACAGTGACAAGTGTCACTGAAGAAGCAAGCCCCACTACCCCCAGTAGCAGGCCTGGATACTCCTCTAGAACAGGGAGAGGCAGGGCCTGGAGTGGCTGTTCCTGCATCCCTGGCTATGTTTCCCCAGGACTAGACTACCTGTGGGGGACTGTAGGGATGGGATGGGGCACCAGACTCACTCCCAGAACTCGATGACAGGGGACCGACGATCAGCAAGCTGGTCACATGTGAGATTGGCCAGGCTGGCATTGGCACAGTCTTCGTGGCGAAATATCTCCACACAGTCAGGAGTGTTCCAGGTATGGCCACACGTGGCCCAGGGCAGAGTGGTGGTGAAGGACTTTACCAGGTAATAGAAGCCCCAGGCCAGCACCATGATGTAGTAGGTGTTGCAGTAGAAGACGATCACCATGGAGGCATAGCCCAGGCCTGAGGGTGAGCCAGGGCTTCCTTTACATGTGGGTACTTTTCTGGCTACCTCCTGGCACCCCCATTCGCTCTGCTCCCCTTCCAGGGCTGCTGAGCCCCTAAGAACCGCTCCCTGTGCCCACATCCTCCCCCTCCCTTATCCTCCCAGGGCCTGTGCTATTGTGCTCCATAGACTTCTCCGAGCACGCAGAGCACCCCTGTGTGTCCCAACAGTGTGCCACCTTCCCAGTCTGTCCCCCATCAACACTCCCCCTGCTCCTTGTCCACCTTCTGTTCTTCCATCTCCTCCATCCACTCCAGAGCCAAGGTGGAACCCTCCCCTCCTGCCCCATCTGGTCACTAGTCTGTCAATTCTCCAGCTTCGGGTACCTGGCCCCTCTCCTAGGTCCCACTGCCACCACTGTGGTCACTGGAGGCAAGCCTCCACCTGGCCCTCCAGCAGCCTCCAGTACACAGCAGCTGGGGGAGATTTTTAGTAACCTGAGGCAACATGGGAGATAGTCATCCTCCCTCAGTGGACAACCGGGCAAGTTACTTTCCCTCTCCATGCCCTGCTTCCTCAATAACAATAGTAAGACCTCCCTAATAAGCCAAGCATGTACAGCAGGTCCTATCCCCAGTCTCCCCAAGTTTGCTATATGGTCTGCACATCCTTCATATTGTCCCTTGAGACTGGGGGCCATCACCTGTCCCCAGGCCAGGACAGAACAAGATCTCAAGTGGGAAAGGGGAGTAGTCCCTGGGGGGAGGATAGGAACTGGCCCAGGGCTGCTCACCTTTGAATAAAGGACAGATGTTCCAGACGTTGATGCTGCCGGCCTTCATGAACTGGCCCAGTGAGATCTCCAGGAAGAAAATGGGGATTCCTCCGACCAGGGCAATGAGGACATAGGGAATAAGGAACACACCTGGGGAAAGAGCCATGGGAGGGGGTTCAGAAGACAGACCACAACAACACCTCTCAGTACCCCACTAAGACCATGGGCACTGGCACAGGGTAGCCCCAAGCCAGAAGCAGATCAAAATTTGTCAGCCAGCCTGTCCAGGCCCAGCTGGCTAACCCAGACTTCAGAAGCCCTAGGAGATCTAGGTGGAGCCCCAGCTCTGGCCTCTACTCTGGTCCCATAACTTCCCACTGGGTGAATCAGTGCACGGATGGTCGCTGACTCAGAAGCCCAAGGTGAACAGTCTTTGGGGGTGGGTTCTGGATCTGTTGATAGGAGGGACTATAGCTTCCCCTGGCCATTACAGCCCAGTCCCTGTGTGGGCCATGCCCATGGAGGTTCCATCCCCCTGGACACCTAGAGTGACCTAATGGGCACGGAGGACATGCACTCATGCATGCAGGCCATCCCTTGTGCCAGTTTTGCTTGCCGGGCAGCAGCTGGAGGAATGGCGAAGACACATGGTCAGGCCTGGGGGCTTGTCAAAAGACAAGGAGGGGGTGAGTGGGTGGCGGTCCTTTGCTGTTGGGGGGTGTCTGTGTACAAGGACAGAGGAGGACAGGTGGAGGAAAGGGACCAAGTTAAGCACAGCAAGCTCCAGTGAGCCAGGCTCTGGAGGAGGCAGGCAGGATATAGTCGGAGATAGGCTATCAGTAGGCTGGGTAGGTGGCAGAAGGGGAGCTGGGTACCAGCAGTCCCTGTCCACTCCCCCCTACTTCTCTCTACTACACTTGCCCCTGGCTCAGCTTTCTCCAGTATTCACTGGCCAAGTTAACTACAGCCTGCCAGGCTCCTAGTCCCAGCATCCTTCTTGTGTGTGACCTTGGGCAAAGGCCTTCCCTCTGGGCCTCAGTTTCCCACCCATCACATAGTTGCTCTACTTCCCAGCGACCCAGTGCTGCTTTGCAGTCACAGGACACATGCGTGTCCATCACTGTTGCTAAGCTGGGCTTCGGCGGATGGGCATGGGGTGTGCATGCCGTGTGTCCAGCGGCGGCGCCAGGCGGGCCAGGCCGCAGGCTTCCCAAGCCTGGCTCAGGCACCCAGTGTTCCAGGCCCAGGCCAGAGGAGAGGGGAGGGAATGGAAGAGAAGAGAAGGGAGGGGAGGGGAGGACATGGGGGAGGGACAGAGTAGCCCATTGTGTGTGTGTGTTCGTGTGTGCACACGTGGGGGGCCCACACAATGTGCCATTTGTGTCTGATCCGTGGGGGCAGCCAGGACTCCTCACCTCTTGGAGCCCCTCTAGTGGGCAGGCTTCCCCTTCCCATCTCAGTGACCAATCGCTCTGGGCCTCAGCTGGGAGTCTGGG